ACTTAGGGGTCTGATAGCCCGGTCGGAACTGGCCAATTGGCTTTGCAGGGAGGAGGACCGCTTTCGTCTAGAAAGTCCTCGTCTTTGCGAAGTTTGCTTGGCACTTCTTGAGGTAAAAGAATAACATGTTTTGCAGCATGGCTGCATCAGGATGGATGTACTTCTGTGTGCGTCGAGTTGGATAGATAATAGGCGCCTCCTCTATCTCCAATTAAAAATGGTTTGGGTTTCGCGCCACTCCTGGTGTTCATTGCAATGGATCTGTTTCCATTTCTCCACTTCCTTCCACTTTCACCTCCACGACCCACTGCGACCCGAAAGAAACCAAAAAACAACCTCCACACTGCGCGACGCGTCGCGAGAAACCTTCCCCCCCCAAAAAGAAACAGGGAAGAAAACCCCCCAAAAACTCCCAACCCACTCTCCGCTCGACCGACGGACCTCCGACCGACCCCCAGCCCGAAGATCGACCCGATCGACCCCTCGTCCGCCTCGGCGCGCGCCACCAAGTCTTGGAGCTCGGAGACCTCGCGCTGCGCCTGGCCGATCTGCCGGTCCAGCTGCTCCACCTGTGGACGCCGTTGTTCGCGCGCGGTCCTGGTTGAGTGTGCGGTAGGTCTCTCAAACCCAAGCGATGTGTCATCCTGTCAGGAGATGGTCCTAAAACCGACGCGAGAAGAAAAACAGTTCCCTTCCATACGAGACCATCCTTTCCTCTATACCTGCCAGATCAGTCCCCTCCCCTTCCATTACCCCCGTTCACGCCGTCTTAGCCCTGACGTGTCTCACTGCGCTAAACACATGTCCAAAACACCGCGCGGCCAAAACCGCGTGCACCCTCACTCCGTGTTTTTGAGGTCAAGCTACAAAGTGTTTTTGGGGCTCGGGTTTTTGACCTCCAGCCATATGGCAACGTCATCAAGTAGTTGGGAGCCATCTTGCTGCCCGAACATCGCGTCGGAAGGCAAGCCGCTTGCTTTTGAAAAACACCTCCAATCGGAACGGAACTGAACTGTGTGGAAGTTCACTGCTTTATCTCCACACAGTTGATTCCGTACTTGTTTCACGGAAACAGTTCACTGACGCAACCCATCAAGTCCTTCAATCTGTGTTCGGGTTCTCAGCGTCCAAAGGGATTGGGATCTTGATAAGAAGCGTCCAAGCAACCACTGAAAAGGAAAGCCACACCTCTTCGGGAAAGGGCCGCACGAAACCCACGATATTGCCATTGAAACCAGAATGAATTGAGAACTTGATGAGGTCACAAGAAGACTCTTCCATGCTTTTATTCTGCTAATATACTACCTTGAAACCTCAAATACTTGTATAATGTCATTATAATTCACGTCTTGATACGTCTTGTTTTCTTCTTTTGCCCTTTCTTCCTTTGCATCCTTTCCTTGTTTCTTTTACGCTCTCCAGCAGCCCACGTTGAGTCTCCGCCTTCTCAAGAGTCTCCGCCTTCCTGGGCCGCGCGACGACGTCTCCCCGCCCGCGCGAGAGGCACCCGGAGGTGGTCAGATCGCGTTCGAACCCCAACAAGGTCCCACATGTCCTGGGAGTCCAGTCGACCAGTTTTTAAACGGTCTTTAGTAAGGTGATCCGAGGCCAGGAACTTCCTTTGCTTGGGCGGCGCCGAACATAGTCGAACTGGACTTCTAGGGTATGGTGTATTTCTTGGGTCTATCCAGTCCTATCCGGTCTATCCAGTGGATGGTGATGGTTACTGTAGGTTCAAGGCCGACATCTCTAAAATGTAATTGGACAGACCCAAGGCATGGATGTTTTTTATGGGTAGACTGGTCCAAGACTGGTCTATTTCCCTTCTTCCAGCTGGGAGGAGGTCTCCCTGTTTGAGCTACACACCCACATACACAAAAAAGATCCTCCATCACCGGCCGCGGATGTTGATCAAACAGTTACACATGGGTTGCCCCCTCTTGAACAACCACGGAAGTGGACGATGGCCCCTTGGAGGACGATGTTTCCTCAACCAGGAGGGGGTTGTCCACTTCCATGATTGTTGGGGGGAGGGTACCACATGCCCAGTACGAAAACCATTCGCATCAATTAGCTAAGTTGCAAGACCGGCTGCTTTTGCCTTTGCGCTCGTTCTTGGAAACGCCGCTGCTCCTGTGGATCTGCAGCACAAGAATTGAAGACCACAGGACATGACCAGTGTGTTTTTATATATTGCAAAGCACCCGCAAACCTAAAGTCCACTACTACCTCTGACTGCTGGTGGCAACAGTATGACTGGATAAGTCCATGCAAAGCAGCCACATCAAACAGCACAGCAACAGAGTTCCTTGTACAAGTGGTCAATCTCTTTGTACTTCGCAGCCAGTGCACACTTGCCAAGCTCACTTGCAAAGGCCGTGTTCTTCCAAGCTGCCTGGACAGTCAAAGCGGATCATGGCATGGTCGAACCTTGCAGCAAACACCATGGATCTTCATGGGACGTCATGGATGAATTTGGAATAGTTTGGAGGAGTTCGCAAAAATGTTCAGCAAGAGCGTGGATGTTCCTGTCATAATATAATGGTGTCGAGGTTTTCTGCCATCTCAAAATACTGCTCTCTCGAGGTTTTCTGCCTCCACCGTTGGCTTGGATTTCACGAGCAAGCGAGCATGGAACGCCTGCACAAGATTTCAAAAAAGGCGTTTTCTCCACCAACGCAAGCAACATGGACAGCATGGCTTGCGACCAGTAGGGCCAAAGTCAGTTCACAACAAAAGCAAACCACACCTGAGTGTTGGCACTTACAGCCGCTGTGCAACGGGCAGCCTGCAACAAAAACCACATATATGGCGCCAAGCAAAGGAAAAACTGCATCAAGCGTGTCTTCAAACTTCGTGTACAACAGTCTGGCCACTTCCTCGTAAAGGCCTTCTCCTCTACCAAAACAACAACGCTGCTTTGATCATTGGAACTTTGCTACTTTCAGTATGTTTTGCTTTTGGTGTTGTACTCGCTTTTGTGACTACCAGTTGCGAAGCCAAATAATGAAAACAAATGAAAATAACCCCAACGTACACCCCAAACAGGAAAAAAGAGGCCAAAGCCAGCCGTTTCTTTGCACGTGTCACGTGCAAGGTCGGTCTTTTGTGGTCCCCAAATAGATAGAAACCGCTTAAACGGTGTCCATTACATTTTTGGTGGGATCTACGAACTTCTATCTATTTGGGGGTCTATATAGCTCGGCTCTTTCTGAAAGACAACGGAGACCGGTCGACATGCCCAGCCGCTGGCCGCACAAGCGGAAACAGCTGAGCTGACCAGCAGAGAAGGAACCCCACTCTTAGAGAAAGTTTTTGGGCAACCCTCGCAAATAGGCCTTTTTAGGAAAGATCTTGAGAAAGTAGTAAGTAGGTAGTTGAAATCATTGCAAACTTACAGCACGTTGATGCACTTCGAGCTTCTGAACCTATCCAAGAGTGAAGCTGTTTGAATAAAGGATCCGAGGTACTATCTGTAAGATATGACCCTCCTTTTTCTACAAAGCATCAAATTCACAAAACGCTCCTCGTGTACGAAGTTCCTTTTGCACAAAAAAACATGTCCTTCTGTAACAGTTGTTTTCTGGAAAAGTATGCCTTTACAATAGGGAAGAACTCAAAAAAGAGGCATGCTTAGATAAGAGAGGAAACTATTGAAAAGGAGTTAATTTGATAAGGGGACAACTGTCCTCACACACGGTAAGAGCTTTATAATGACAAGGAAAGTTTTACAAAGACTAAGGCTTCTACTGGAGGAGCAAACTGTCAAAGAAGGACTTCTGAAGGAGAAGACCTCTAAAAATTAGGAATTGTGCAGCAAAAACACTTTCGTGAATGATGATGGCAAGAAGGGATAGACTCTTTTGTAGGGAGGTAGACTTGTGAAAAAAGTAGGAGCAGACCTTGGTTTAGGAAATGAGATGGAAAGTCCACAGCAATGCGATCCATGCGCATGTAAAGGACAAGACCCTTAAATACCCAAAGATGTTCACCAAAGAGGAAGACGTCCATGAATGTCTTATGTACCTACCAAAAAACATGTCTCGGGCTCAGAATCCAGAAGCGCTTCAAGCGCTGCAAGCTATCTGCCGGAATGGGAGATCTGGGAAGAGGAGAGGACTTTCAAACGAAGATAAACAAAGATATTTATGCGGAGGATGAGATTCTTATGAACCTTGGGTGGGGAAGAGTTTCATCAGCAAAATTAATATGGATGTTTTTTTGAAGGAGAAGGACTTGTAAAGGGGACAGGCGGATTGCTGCGGGAGGCCTTGCAGACAAATAGCTGATAAAGTGTTGCTTCGTACAAATGATCGCTATGCAAAAGAGCTATGAACCGCTCACAAGTCAAAAAGACTGCGCTCTCACCGTCACGCCCTCTCAATCTAACAACCAGCCAATGAAATGTTGAGCTGACTACAGAAAAACGGAACAAAAAGGCTGATGCAGTGAGATTGCCAATCTCTCCGTGCTGCTCACAGGCGCACTCTGGCCACCTTTAAGGGGCACTGTCACCCCAACAGCTTCACACAGACCACCCATTCGCATCCCGCAACCACACGCCTGCTCTTCGCATCGCTGGAAGATTGGGCTCACCTCCTTGCGGATCTCAACGGATGATTCGGTCCCCCCAACCAACGGATGAACACTGGCCACGGCTCGGAGGGTGGCTGTCGAAATGCCCAAGTCTTTTGGCGCAAAGCGTTGAAAGGCCCAACACTAGCTCGAGCATAAGACCATCATAGATCCAAGTCCAACAAAAAACACCGAGGAGTGAGGAGAGCAGAAATGTTGATGGCCCTTGTCCAATGACTCCAGGAAAACTATATAGCTCAACATCCAACACAAATAACCAATTATGGGTCAAAAGCGGGGGGGGCCTTGCATAGGTTTTCCCACAGAAAATGGACAGAACAGACTACCGGGGAAGTCAACCTACCAGGGTTTAGTAATTTCGGACAATTTCGGGCTCCGGGGTGTTTTTGACCCGAAAAGCCGAATCACCAAACCGACCTGGCCCCTTCCTTCGACCTGTTCCGATCTGGCTCCACAATGTCCCAGTCCTGGCAAGCCAACTCAGCAGCTGTCAGGGCTTCGGTGACAGCCTTGTCCGCAGCTGACAGATCTGCCTGTCGAGAAAACAACAAGCTCCGCACATCAATTTGCTTCCTCCAAGTGACAAAGCCTTGTGGACCAATCTGCTTGGAGAAACTCAGTGACACGTCCTAATTGGTCATCTCAGCAAGAAAAGCCCATCAATGAATTCATGAAAGCCCGAGGCATTGAAATCATCCTTCACAATTTCTGAGAAGACCCAGCCTCCAAGATGACCACGGCCTCATCCCGGATGTAAGCATCTTGGTATTCTCTCCATGCCCTCATATGCGCCTTCTCTGCCTCCTCCAGTGCTTCACGTTTGGTGGCTTCCTCCCGGCAAGTGACCCGGCGGAGGTTGGTGCACCTGAACGCAGCAAGACGACGGTGCGTGTTTGATCGCGCTCCCCGGTGGGCTGACTGGGAAAAGAAACAAAAAGAAAATAATCATCGAAACACCATGCAAAGCTCACTTTTTAATCCTTTTAACCAACTCATAATTGCAAATGAAAGAACCATTCCTTCTCCCGCACCTGAGCTTCTTGTCTCGGGCGTCAGCCTGTTGCTCCTCCAAGCCAGCACGCAATACCTCGACCATCGTACGCCTGGAGGTCATTAGGTTGGCCTCAAGCTGCAGAGCCTCTGCCTTGTGTTGCTTCTCCTGGACGATGACATGGTTGGAGGGAAGTGTGCTTCTTTGCAAGAGCGAAGCGGCCTGAGACTTGGTTCCCTTCACATGCTGTTCATACAACTGCCTCTGCATTTGTGGATACTTCTCGCGCTTCTGTTCATCGGTCATGTCATTCACCACTGATTCGGGGAACTGCTGGAGGAGCGCCTGTGTATAGGATTTGCCTTGCACACTGGCAAAGGAAACCTTCGTTTCCTCCACTGCACTTGCTCCAGTGTTAAGTTCATTGCGCAACGCATGAGTCAAGGCGTCACATTGATAATCCTCCCGGAGGGCCGACTCGAGCACGAAGTTCAACTCCCCCTGGGCAACGGAGTCAAATTTCTGACACTCCAAGACACAAGCTCCAGCTTCCTTCCCGTATCCGCGGATGATCTCTGCACAATCACTCTTGTAAGGCTCAGGCTTCAAGGCTAAGATCTCTAGTTGGCTTTCCTCACCAGGCGCCGAATGCATCGTCATCAAGCCTGAGAGGTTCCGGTTGCGCTGGCACTCTTTGATCTCTGCGTGAGTGGCCAACGCTGCATTCCAATGGTGAGTGGTTTTCGCCTCGTAGCTATGCAAGAAGCCCTCTGGTGAAGCCGCCATTGCGATAGCGTCGAAAACGTGCGAAAGATCGCGTCGGAATCAGGGAACTTGGAGGAGCTAAGATGCCTTGCAAGAGCTCGCTTCTCATCTCTCTTGGGCGCGCAAGTCATAGGCGAGAGTTCTGGGTTCAAAGCCATGTTTCAAGCCAACAATGGTTTTTTTCATCTTCTCTCCAATGAGCTCAAGGTGGGAGCCTTTCCCTCCGACCAGCTCTTGCAGTCGAAGGTCCGACCGAGAGCCAGCTAGTCAGCGAACTTCGCTCGCCGCGCGCTGTACACCAAGACTCTTGGCTTGTGAAGAGGAGACACCAGCCGCCCTGGAGTGTGTTGCTTTGTTTCTGCTGTGGATCAGCTTCGCACATGCCGGGGTTCCATGTTGTGCCACAAGCATCAAAAAGAAGGCTTCCTCTAGTGGAAAAAGGATAGCAGATAGAAATACAGATAGAAACTGATAGAGAAGACAACACACTTAAAAGAAAACCTGTGTTGGAGAACACGCAGCGGCTCCAAAAATGCTGGGACGTCTTTGATCCGCCCACATCGCTCAATAAACTCTCTCACCCTCAACCTGCTGGCTGCGTAGAGGTGGAGCTAGGCAGATCCAACTGAGAGCCTTCAGAATCGGCGTGGATAGGCAGATGAGATCACTGAATAATCATGAGAGTATTTAATCGTATTTATATATCTGCTCAAGTGGGCCAGCTCACTCCTATTTCCACCTGCGTTTGCT